TATGTAACGTTCATTCTTGTAGGGACGCTTTGATTCTCGCAACAGCTGTTGCACTGACATCTATATACATCGGGTTTGCCTTCTTTGCTATCATGGGCCACGTTGCTCATCTGCGTGGGGTGACTGTAGATTCGTTCCAATATTCAGGTAATTCCTTGAATGTATTCATGAACTCCAGTTATGTTATTAAGTCTTAACCAAATATGTTGACCAATAGCACTTTCGCAACATCACCCTTGCACATACCAGTGACACTTAAGCCATGCAAAATGAAATTGTCGGTGTTTCCTTCTTGATAAGTAGCGGTGGGGTAGCCTAGTGGTTAAAGTGTTGGCTCGTCACGCAAAAGAGCCGGGTTCGATTCCAAATATGGGTACAGTATGTGAAGCCCATTTCTGGTGTCCACCGGCCGTGATATTGCTGGAATATTGCTAAATGAGGCGTAAAACCATACTCACTCACTCCTTCTTGATAAATTTACGATCATTTAGAGCTACTCAAATTGTCACCGAACGTCTCTTCGTGTGTTTAGCCTGAAGGTATTCCTGAAGAATTTACCACAGCACTGGCAAGTTTAAATAGAGACAGATTTTTTTCATGTGAAAACATCAGCCCAATTTAAACAAATGTACCAGTTCGCAAATCAGCAGCTAGGGGGCAATCATACAACGAAAATATATTTTAACTTATCTATCACATGGCGGCCGTGTGTTTCGGCAACATCTGGATATTATATGTCTATCAGCATCAGGTTACACGTCACTCAACATTTATGTATGAATATCAACGTCCTCTAGATTGATGAATACAATTGTGTCATTTGTCCAGGATACAACCTTGGGTTCATAGCATATCCAGAAGCCGTGGCGTCACTCCCCTTGCCTCAGGTGTGGTCTGTTTTGACTTTCTTGAATTTGATAACGCTCGGATTCGACTCTCTGGTAAGCAATACGTCCCAAATATCCATTGTCAGCATATGACTATTTTTTTTTTTTTAGAAATACCAACTAGTAATATAGGACTAAATATGCCAACATGCTGATTTAAGAGGTTTCGTGAATCATTGTTTTTCAACATAAATATGATCAAGTATTGGTTTCTTCCCGTACCGGGGCGGTGGGGTAGCCTAGTGGTTAAAGCGTTGGCTCGTCACGCCGAAGGCCCGGGTTCGATTCCCCACATGGGCACAATGTGTTAGGCCCATTTCTGGTGTCCCCCGCCGTGATATTGCTGGAATATTGCTAAAAGCGGCGTAAAACTACACTCAGTCAGTTCTTCCCGTACCTGTACACATCTCAACAAATTGCTATAGAATACGGAAAACTGTCATCTTAGATTAAAAAACTCTTAGATTAAAATTGACAAGACAATACTGTTTCGCTCATTCAGCCGTTATGTTGGTAATGACAAGGCCACAAGTCCAAATGCATGATACAGTAACGCGATAGCTGTGTTCAAAGCCACCAAGGCCATCAATTTTCGGAGAGAACAAAACTCAAACTTGTCCATAACATTAAGATTTGATATTTAAAGAACCTCGAATTGGTCCATACTTTACGTCTTGCTGTAACCAATGAACCACAAAGGCATGGGTCGGATACATTCTTGTAATTCTTTAAAAGGTTGTGTGCATTTGTCGAATATATCTTCATGATTGGAACCAAAATTGCACATGTGACTTCATGGTGGTTGCTGTATTATGCATACTACAATATATTACATATGTGTGTCAAACTAATCCGTGGTTGATGTGTTTCAATCCCGTTTCTATACAGTTACCATGCTTTGAGATCGCAGTAACAGCATTGTCAGATCAGTTTCCAAGCCTCTCTCGCCGACGCTGGGTGGTCATCCTCGTGGTCCTGGTGCCTTGCTTCCTCCTTGGTCTACTCTACTTGACACAGGTAAATTTCACGAAATGTCACTAAATACCCAAAGCCTTCCCTGTCCCTAATATACTCAACATTATAACAACGTTAGGAAATATGACACAACTGTGAGGCCAGTGGCTTAGTGACGTGTTACCGATATGTTACCCTCTTATCAAGTGACGTACGTGCACACAAATGCAACTCATGATATTTAACTTTCCATATGAAAGCTCGGCTAAAACCAGAGTTGATTGTTCAACTCCAAATATGAGCATGTGTTTGTTTGTTTAAAACGTTACTCTGCAGTGATACAGCTGTATAACGACGTCTTTAAATATTCAAATCTAGAACAGGCAATACAGTTATACTTCCTTAATTAGATACGATGGCAGAGCATGAGTTAATGAGTTAATGAATCACTGTAATACCAGATGTACGCAAAGAGGTGTATCCGGCCCCATAGGTAGCACCCTGCAAAGGCTAGTCAATTGTCCACTTGGCAAAGTCAAAATAGTGAAATTCATGGGACTTCATTTTTGCCATTGATACATCACATTATAAAATGTGCTCCATATGTCGACCATAATGCTTTTTGAAAGCTTACTGAGGTTTTGAACGTTGTAAACTAGTTGGAAGTTTGAAATAATCCTTTTGGTCATTAAGCCTTGTTGAGAGTTCGTTAGGACTGTGCAGAATATCAGCCATTCTCAAGAGTAGAGAGGTTATGTATTTATGTCACTATCCAGTAGTCGATATGCCACGGTAACTAAGCCATGTACTCCACGACAAAGAAAGTCCTTACATCTGTAGATGTTCGACTTCACCTAAATCACAGAAATTTGGTAGGTTGTGTGTCCACCTCTGGCGTCTAAACACTCTTTACCAGATCGTCTCACTGGATCAAAAGCATTGTTCACCCTTGTGATTGATATCGTCAACACCAGCCTGTCCCAGCTACTGTCCAGAGATGTTCAATAAGGCTCAATCATGTGACATTAATGGTCGAGTGCCTATGAATAGAGCATCAGTTAACTCCTAAGCAATTATTGACAGTACAAAAGCTACTGTGATTCAGTTCTGAAATTCCGGAACAAACCATACAACAAGTCAATCTGAAAAACACAAAATCAATAATGATGAACCTATCTACTATCTAGCCACAGGACCATAGTACAAGTATACACAATGTTCAATATCAGAGTGGATTTCTCTTCATAAAAGCATGATAAATAGACAAAGCAAAATTTTCAATTACTAAACGGTTAGTAGTTAACAATAGCTGTATAAAATATGTGTTGACGGTTGTTTACTAAACTGGGTTTATATATGCTTCTAATGCTACTGTAATGATCGCAAATGAACACAACATGATATTAGTCTGCCAGGACATTTAATTTACAGTATTTGCACACAATAGGTTCCATTTTGAATTTTCCCGTTTAACACCTTAGATCATAGTAAACAAAACGAAACTGGGATCAGGCTATTCTTACGTTCTTAATATTGATACAGCGCTAGCGTATATGTGGTTCACACATAAAGGTCCCTTTACACAATGAAAAAGTATAAGTACAGGGACTATTTGACAGTTTGACATGCCATTCTTGTATACAGCAATCATTGCTTCTTCTTACATGTAATATAAGAAGTTCTATTTATTTCCAACTCGTTCCGACATAGATTCTAATGTCGTGGCCAAGCAGGACTTGATGTTCTGGACGCCGTCACATAGCTGGAATAGTTCTGAGAGCAGCGTTAAAAACAAATGTTTATTCAAAAATCAGTGGAATTAGATTTTTAAAATACATCGTGTCGAGCTGACCACACTTCGCTCCAACATCACAACATCATCTTAATCAGAACAATGACCTGGTGCTACCCTGGCCCGTAATATTCTTTGATATTTTACCTATTGAATACTAGGGCTGTGCAATAAAACCGGTTTACAGGTAAAGACATGAAAACGATACGTATTGTGATACGCTGATCGAAAACCGGTATTTTTACTTTCATTCGGAAAACTTCGTAACACTCGGTAATCTTCGGATATGTCCTTTTTTCATTTTCAAAGCTTAATCAAGCATAGTGATGTTGTGTTCATGCTTTATAAATGAAGCATTAACTTTATTATACGTAGTTCTTGTTTAAAAATACTTCTTGCAATATATTGCAATACATATCGCTCTTTATGCTTTCGCACAGCAATATATCGCAATATGAAAATTCTCTGCAATACCCACCCCTATTGAACACGATGAAACGGAGCGACGTTCCCGACCTCATCTAATCCTCTAAAGTTCAATGCTGCAGGAACCTCTATCTCTCCATGTCATAAGCTTTAATTCGCTTTAATAAAAGTTTTAACACTGGTTTCCTTTGTTGTGTCACATTACTGTTGAATTTGAGTACAGGATCACTGTTATGAGTAGATAATGGAAGTAAGACTAGCTTTAACCTCAGTTTACAAGACACAGACATTAGGCCTGGACAAAGTAGTCACTACAGAAACGGAAGCTAAGATTTAGATTCAAATACAACAATAACAACATTAACGATTGGGCACCCATCTAGACATAACATTACACAAGCCAAAAAACAGAAAGAATGTATATCATCTAACACATTCTTTCTGCTTTCTAGATCTGGACGTCAGGCTGCATTATCAGGTGGACAGTGACGACTCGAACCACTTGGGATGTCACCTGTACTGGCATGAGTAGCCTCATCCGGGTTTTATATATCGTGTGAGCGGACGTCGGAGAAACCAGTCAGGGTCGAAAACCGGCAATGTCCGGCGAAGTGGCGAAGTTGTGTATCACTTAATTACTAATAAGCTATATAATCGCTGTAGTGAAGTACAAGAAGGACATGAACTATACTAAAAGTATTTACCTTCAGATATAGTAAGGAATATTTGTACCAATAACAAGTAAAAGGAAAGTTGACACAAACGTACTAATTAGGCGGCAAGCAAATCCTCCATAGAGACCAGGATATAAAGTTATATCATGTGAACTACGTGGTACATACACAAACTGCGGTGCTATTTAACATTGCGTTAAGACATTACTGTACAGTAGAACCGTTTTTGCCTGGGAATCTAGCCCAGGGTGTGTAACAATGATCCTCTTACGATGGCTCCTCCATATTGGCCATGGGCTGACCCATGTCCATCTGTGTGCTACAAGATACTTGACGCCAGTTCTTGTGTGGTTTCAAAGACGTCAGGAATTTCTGAAACATAAGTTCGGGGTGTCATAGAGTAACACTCCTCGATAGGAGAAGACATCAGCCCTTATCGAGTACCACCAATACTTGTGCTCTATTATTTATGTATATGCATCACTATATTGGTGTTCTAGTTGTTTTACTGCCCTTCGTCGACAGGTTTTTACAATATACATATATTCCATTTCAATGTCAAATATGTTCTCGTCACGATATGGCTGAAAGATTGCCGATGTGACGTAAACTTGTAACTCACTCAGTTACTATATTGGTGTCGTTCAGCACACATTCAATGTTACCGAAATAAAAGACACCATAACCTTTCAATGAGAGTTAATATCTAACGTTACATCGGCAATGTTTCAGCCATATCGTGATAAGCCTTTCAATAAGCCATTCCAAATGTTACATAGAATATTTCAGTCACTGTGTAAAGTGATGATGAACTGCCACACATACAAAGAAAGGTCATTTGCAAGAACAAGACAGTTAGCGTTTACTTGCACAAACACGACAACGTATGACTAAGGTAAAGGTAAGAGGTCTGTGTCGTAGCAACGAGTAGTAATCTTCGATGACGACGACATTGTGTGTATTGTCGACGCTAAATGCTGGGGCTGATGGCATATTGCTATATGACTGATGCGTGTCTTTGGCAGATATCTTTTTTAGTTCTCTTACTGGCCTTATATGTGCCACTATTTGATTTGTCATTCATACCAAGTTCTGTGATCAAACAATTACTGAAGTGACGATTTCATTTAATTGTTGAATGTGCTATCTGAGGCCTCGTCAGAGGATACAATTACATACAGTTCATGTTGGACAGTTAAATATTCAAGATAACTCATGTATTTCAAAACATATCTATTTTAGCCTCTACCTCTTTGACGGTATGTCCAGGTGTTCGCCATACTCTCCACACAAACACAGCCGGGAAGGGCAGGATTGAAGCCAGAGACACCATCCATCCAATTCCTGTTGCCCATGGAGGGTAGTCATAGTCTCCATACTTGGGAGGTCGGTAGGAATACAGGGAGTAACAGAACACACACTGTTGTAGAGAATCATATCGTTAGAAAAGGTTTTATCTTTGAGTGTTTGACATTCAGACCAAATGTTAAACATGGACAAAAAAGCATTAACGAATCATGAACATAAGGCAAGGCTGTGAACTGACCTTGGTGAGAGAGAAACTGCTCATCATTCAACTTTTAATGTCGTAATCCAAGTATATCGATGCTCATAATGTCTGTCACTGAATTTCCAATACTACTCAGACTCGATTATTTACTGACATAAAAATGTAAAATTGCTATAGAGTCATTTCTATTTGGTGACGTTTTTATTTCAAGGATTACCCGAACTAGAGAAGTTCAGTCTCAATTTCATTTTCAATGTCACCTGAATTGCCAAAATGTCTTTTGTTGCAAGAGGGTCTCAGTGAGAGCTATTTTGTCACTCTTGGCATTACATCTCGCTAAAGTCATCGCGATCATTATGTCAAGTCAAATTCTGTGAGTTGGCTAAATATGCTTGCTAAAGATAAGATAGAAAAAAATAACGTGGCTAAGTGGGTCACTAAATTCAACGTGTGTTTGAAGTGCTATGTCCATAATTTTCTCCGTGCATATTTTATTTCTTGTACTATAATAGCCTTTTACCCCATGGTTCCAGGTATCAGTATCTCGTGATCAGTCAGTCTTGTCTCCCACGTTACAACCACGTGCGACCCGTGAAGATCCGGGGTAGAATAGGTCTTCAGCAACCCATTCTTGTCATAAAAGGAGACTATGCTTGTCGCCAAAGGCGACTAACGGGATCGGGTGGTCAGGCTCGCTGACTTGGTTGACACATGTCATCGGTTCCGAATTGTGCAGATCGCTGCTCATGCTGTTGATCACTGGATTGTCTGGTCCAGACTCGATTATTTACAGACCGCCGCAATATAGCTGGAATATTGCTGAGTGCGGCGTAAAACTACACTCATTTACTCACAACGACGTGCCATAACACTACGTAAATCAACTTAAACTCGTTTCAGATCGACACTCAAACCAAACTCCAGGCGTTGGGGTAGCCTAGTCACGACCCAGACCAATTCGATTCACCACATGGGTACAGTGTGTGAAGCCCATTACTGGTGTCCCCTGCCTTAATATTGCAGGAATATTGCTAAAACGACGTCAAACCTTACTTATACTAAAACCAAACCAAACCCATAGTCAGATAAATCAGAGATCATGTTTGGTTGATGATATTTTTCAGCCTTATGTTTTCTGCCTCTAATCCATCCGTTGTAATGGATTCCCTGCGTCTTGTCAGCGATAACGTTAAATCCTAAAAATACCTGAAACATTTTGTCAACTATTTTGGTCTACATGTGGGACTGGTATATCGTAAGGCAGCATTTTTAACGTAAGACCACATATGGTTAATGACCTACCACCAACAAGATCGGACACACAAATTTGATGGATATCACCATTGCCAGAGGAATAGCCTTCCCCCACATGAGCTTGATATCATCTTGTAGTCTGGCAGTACCTTAAATGGAAAAGTTTGATTAATTCAAATGCAAATGATCATGCGTAAAATTACAAACCGGCAAACACCTCCACGCAACAGAACACAACACATACATGCAACAAATCTTTCTTCAGTGAATTCGTTTTTGAACCTGCACAGAGAAAAAGAACAAATGGGACTCTAAACATTGTGAATTGAAACATCATCCCCACGTGAATCAAGATGGAGGTTTGTACTGCATACAAAATATTGGAGGGACAAGTTTTGTTTGATTGTTGTTTAATACCCTGTATTTAGCATTCAAGCTAAATGTCGATGGTTTGTAAACGGACGAGGACGAGGCAATTTAGTGATTAACATCATGAGCATCGATCCACACACTTAGGATACAATGGCGAGCATCAACCATCAGCCAGCCGGACCACCTTATCACATTAGTCGCCTCTTACAACACGCATGTGTTGCTGACAATCAATTCTAACCCTGATCATCACTGGTCGACGCTATTTGGTTAGTTTCTGACACGAGAAAACGACACGAATGGCTGACAGAAAACTACTAAACAATTAAACTCGTGCCTTGTATGCAATGCAATGATAGCGTTGGAGACATGTACCATATCACCAACCAACCAAAACGCATTCTAGGAGAACGGGAGATATTTACTGCAGCACCATCGAACCACAACGCATTCTATGAGTGTAGGACATATTTACCTTAGTACCTTTAAACCACAACGCATTTAAGGAGAACAGGAACATATTTACCGTAGCACCTTCCAAACACAATGCATTCAAGGAGAACAGGAGATATTTACCATAGCACCATCCAACCACAACGCATTCAAGAAAACAGGAGATGTTTACCGTAGCACCTTCGAACCACACCGCATTCAAGGAGTATAGGAGATATTTACCATAGCATCATCCAACCACATCGGATTCTTGGAGAACAGGAGATATTTACCATAGCACCAACCAGCCACAACACATTCTAGGAGTACGGGATATGTTTACCGTAGCACCATCCAGCCACAACGCATTCTAGGAGTACAGGAAATATTTACCGCAACACCATCTAACTACAACGCATTCAAGGGCTTTTAAGATATATTTACCGTAGCACCATCCAACCACAACGCACTCAAGGGTAGAGAAGAGGACATTGGACGGGAAGTAGGCAAACCAGTCCACGAGAGTCAGCACATATATCCCGCCCTAGAAGATAGGAGTGAGTGAATTAATATTAATACTTTGAAAATTGGCGGTCAGAGTTATGCGCCCCTAGAGACGAGTCACGGAAAAAGAGCAGTCAGGGACAATATCGGGTAAATCATAATCCACACATCACCAGAATCTAAAACTATATCGTATACATCCATAAGGGATCAGTGAAGAGTTTCATGTGAAAAAATGATAGATAAAGTGCTCTACAGAGCAAGGATTGGGACTTTTTCACACCCTAGTGGTACCCGACACATCAGCCATGTTGACAGGTATACACCGTTCACGGCTGGCTCTGACATGCCGCAACGACTCAACGCATGTTTTGTGTTCTTGTCTGTGCATCTCATCCTATCATTCTCCCTGATTCGATACGTTGAACAGTGTGCGAGCTACGAGACTACCCGAGTGAGTTTTGCCATCCAGAAACTGTTTGTTTACATTTGTGTCCAAGCAGTGACGTCACGGATGACACAACCCCGTTCAGTATCGACCGTACTCGTCTGTTCCTACCCCCACCCCTCCCTGCGAATAGTGTCAGATCACCCATTATTCTTCTCTCTGGAGATGTCGAGACAAACCCGGGACCTTCCACCGATTTAGACGAGGTACAGAGGGTAATCCTCCGGCAGATAAAGGACTCGGAAAATAGACTTTCTAAAGATATTTGTTCGATTAAAGGGGACATAAAATCTATAAAAATAGACATCACTGAACTTAGAGAAACAATCTACACCAATAAACAAGAACAAGATGTTATTGGAATGGATATTGACACTTTAAATGATAAAACAACAGATATAGAGACACAATTCGACAATCTAAAACCTGTCAAAAATGGACAGCAAAAACACTAGAGAATCACAGCTATGAATATAATAGAAGATAGGACATCAGACATTAACACTCTCAGTGGGAGGGTGCAGTATGTTTGTTAATACCTATCAGACATTAGCGTAGCCTCCAACAGCGTCCAACGACAGTTACATCACATGTTAATAAAGATCAGGGGCGGTGGGGTAGCCTAATGGTTAAAGTACTGAAGACCCCGAAGTTCCTGGTTCGATTCCCAAAACGGATACAATGTGAAGGCCATTTGTGGTGTCCCCCACGTTCATATTGCTGGAATATATAGCTCAAAGCTGCGTAAGACAATACTGAAGGCACTCATAAATATCACAAGAAACAACATTTTAATTTAAATATATAAGCCATGGCTCAGAAAAGGAATCCGTGATCTGTTGCAAAATGACGGCCACCTGTGTGAGTGAGTGAGTTTAGTTTTACACCACACTCAGTAATATTCCAACTAAATTGTGGCGGTCTGTACATAATCAAGTCTGGACTAGACAATCCAGTGATCAATACCATGGGCATGGATCTACGCAATTGGGATACGATGACATGTGTCAATCAAGTCAGCGAGCCTGACCACCCGATCCGTTAGTCGCCTTTTACGGCAAGCATGAGTAACTGAAGATCAATTCTAACCCGAATCTTCACGGTTCCGGTCACCTGTGTAATGTAGTTGAGGCCAAAGCTGAAGTTGGTTGTAAGTAATACAGCAATAACAAGCCAACGCCGTTGCGATAAATGTGGAAACCGGTCTCTTAAAGCTGCCACTACATTTTCAATCGGAGGAACCTGAAACACAGTAAGTCAGTGTTTGCAATACTTCAATTTGCCAGGTGGCCATCGGGGCCTGCTGCCGCCTGCAGGCTTTAAAATCTACAGGCCCATTTTGTTAAACTCAAACCAATAAAAACAAAAATAGATTACACTGAACACAGTTTCACACTGTTTCTACAAATATCAGCGAAGCCTATGGCGCAGAGAAACATTTTTATTTGTTAAAGACTGGTGTTGACATTCCTATGCGCAAAGCGCTGAAATTCCAGGAAGTGAAACTGTAAGTCATCGTAACATGGTGGATCATGGATGATTCCCGAACGTTAATAAAGAAAAAACTGATGGGAAGATTCCAGTTGAAAAAAGTACACAAGTCCTATAACACTTATGAAAGTGACCAACACCTTTCAGGACAACTTTCAGATATCTGAATCTGAATCTGAAACACGCACAATTAACTCAGTATTGCTTTAATTGCATCCAGAAGCATTAATACATACAACCACAAGAATCACATGGTAACTCATGGTATAGTAATCATCAATATTTCCGGAAATGTAAACAGTCATGCTATGATTGGTTGGTCGGTTTGTTGCTTTACGCCGCACTCAGCCATTTTCCAGCTATGGGGCGGCTCATGTTATGAAAAACTTTCACTTTAGAAAGGGGACGTCTTAAATCTCGACTGTCGGTTATGTCCGCTCATACGCTACATACATACGCTAACATTTAAGGTATAATTATTCCTGCAATCTGTTTTTACCAGAGTGTCAAGTTCAAGGGTGAGCAGCGTCAGAAACGTCAAGGCAGACCACAACTGCGGCAGGGGGAGGTAATTCAACACTTGAGGGAAGATGATAAATGCAAGATTGAATCCTGAAATGAAGTATTTTGTTACTGTTCTTATGAAACTGTTTAGCTGATCAAATAGCAATCATAATAATAATCACAACTAGGATTGCCTCCTGGGCAATACTGACGGTCTTCAGACTTCCCAATACCCTGCCCGTGGCTGCCTTCACTTGTACTGTTTCTTTGGACGCCAACTGGAGCGTCCATTTTAACTCTCGGAGTTACGGGTGTTTGAAGTGTACGTAGAAAGCGTCCAAAACGCAGGCAGAACACGTTTTTTGGACACGAGCGCAGATCGGTGAAATGCAGCCGGGGTCGCGGGGGTCATGTACTTTTAAGTAGTTCCCACAGGAGATATAGTTCTCTCTTTAACAGGCCCTAGCTCCACTGTCCTTGGGTCTACGGTCCAAACGATTAGTGTTCTGGAATCGTTGTGATGTGCATATACTGCACTTGTGAAACAACCATAGATTTATGTGTGTATATAGTGCATTTGTTAAACACACATTCAAAATCTGAAATAAAACTCATATCTGTCTCTGTACTTACAATGTTTATAAATGCAAACTTGTTCTCGACGCTGTATGGCTAGGATAATGCCGATGTAACGTAAAGGCCAATTCAAGGGAAACTATTTCTTTGGGCATTGGATGACGTTCCAGCTCAGATTTGACAGCTCCTTGTCATTGTCAATTACATCTGTCGTTGAAATTCACATCGTCTCCCATATCTGCACGTGGACCACGCTTTGCAGTGGTAGTCTCTTTATAGGACGCATATACTATAAGAGAGATTACTGGTAAATATTGCAGACTTTGTTGTGGTCAAATGTCAAGTGTATTCTTCTCACAGTGAGGCTGGTAAACAAACTACTGGAGAGATCACATACTGGCAATTCAAGAAAAATAATTCTTTTGAATGTAGACCTAAGAACAACGGAGCTACGGCATATTAAAGAGGGAACTATTTCTGTGGGCACTGGAAAACCAGGACGTGGGCAGTGTTGCTAGATTTTACGACACTTCCTCCAGCTATCTCACAACTGACAAAATGCGAAATCCTAATTTCTTTCGTTTGTGGCGTAATTGTGGCGTAATTATCGACTTTTACATAATAATAATGTGAAGCAAAGATGCCCCCCATTTCATTATCTACAGTTTGGTACCTTGAAAATTGATATCCATTGTGAACCCTATCAAAATGCGTTCTGCCAAAATTGACCAACTTTCCAAGGGCAATACCTCCGACACTATTCAAGATATCGACATGCCTTGAGCAAACTAAGTAGTCCGGAGTGTGGGCTTTAAAACGATATATAGAACACTATTGTACTATTTGCCGTTCAGGAGAAGAAGATTGTTAAACACAGGCACCGTCAAAAAGATGCGGAAATATGACAAATCGCGAAGGTTGTGTTTGTGTCGTAATGGTGACGTAAATATATTGATTTTTACATAACCATGATGTGAAGCAGAAATGTTTCCCATTCAATTACCTACCGGTTTGTACTTAGGAAAATGGAATCCATTGATTTTTCGCAGAGTTGTGACCTTTTTTTAACCCTATGAAAATGCGTCTTAGAAAAATTGACCAAATTCCAAGGGCGATAACTCTTACACTATTCAAGATATCGATATGCCTTGAAGGGTTAAAGTAGTCCGGAGTGTGGGCTTTAGAATGATATATCGAACACGATTGTACTATATGCCGTTCTGGAGAAGAAAATTTTCAAACACAGGCACCGTCAAAACTTGAAAATCGGCAAAAACAAATCAGTTTTTTCTTAATAGCGCAAAATTTGACGTGCCGGCCAACTTGAATCGACGGATATGTGTTGAATCGACGGGGAATGGTGTTGTCTACATTGAGTGAAAATTTGGTCAACTTATCTCTTGTAGTTTATGAGATATTGAGGTGTAAAGATTTTGACATTTGGGGTTGTCTGCCCTTACCAGAAGCCGGAAGTCAGGATTGTTTCGACTATGTATCAATTTCAGCACACAGGCTATCATCCCTGAAAGTTTCACGAAAATCGACTCAGTGGTTAGGTCAGGAGAGCTGTCACAAAATTTGTACAAATAATAATAATAAGAAGAAGAAGAATATTCGGATAATAACAGTAGGTCTTCCAGACTTTCGTCTGAAGACCTAATAACGTCAATGAGCAGACCCTGCAGACCTTTTCATTTGTATGAAGTTCGCTGGACTGAAAATGGAAACAGAAGGCTGTTTAGGTTCAGTCAATACCCACTCGAAACCGTCAAAGTGTGATACTACATCAACATGAAAATATGAAATTATGAAATTAGAAACTGTCAACCATCGTGCCAAGGGATCCCTTTACTAAGTCTTTACCGTGCTTGTGGTTTCGACTCAGATGTCCACCCATGATATGAACTGAACATGAAGAGGGCGTCATGGAAAATGACGATTACAAAATTCTTTGGAATAGACCTCTCATACGTTTTCAAGCCATCATGCAATTATTGTCATTTTCGTTTGAACCAATGAAATTATTTATATCACAGAATTTTATGAAGATCATCTTAAAGTATAACAACCTGTAGATGTTACCATAGCATACGTAAATTTAACAAGTGTAATCGGCCTAAGATCACACTATCATGTTTTGCGTGAATAGGATTCCAAGATACAAATTATAGGACTCAAATACACCTTTTCACTGGCTCTTACCATAATACTAATATATATTTGAAAATGTCATTATCAACAATTTATTTCGACACAATATATTTCACGTATATTGAGTGAGTGGTTGAGTTTTACGCCGGTTTTAGCACTATTCCAGCAATATCACAGCACCGGACACCAGAACTGGGCTTCACACATTGTACACATGTGGATACTCAAACACGGGCCTTGGGCGTGATGAGCGAACGCTTTAACCACAAGGCTATACCACCGCCCACTTCCCCCGAATATCACAGATCCGCATTGTAGTTTTGTTTACCTGAAGATTCAAATTCTTCAACAGGCAGTCCTCTCTGGTAGGAAACATGGCCGATTATGGCAAAGAATGCAAAACCAATGAGCAGTGTTACCAGCATGTCGCCAATGCAGACAACCACAGCATCTCTGGACTCGGAAGAAAAATTAAACAACATATATTATCAATACACAATCGTCGCTGCTATCGAATAATCACCCTATAAGAACCAAGGAGTTTTGATATGATATCAAGTCCAAGTTGCCAATAATCCAGCAACAATAATCCCAGCACAGTATCCTGTATACATTGTACCCACTTACGCAATCGAAGCCGGGTCTTGGGTGTGACGACGTCGTCATATGAGCGAAATATTCTCAAGCACGACGTTAAACCCCATATCACCCCACCTCACCTTGGATGTGACGAGAAAACTCTTAAACCACAAGACTACCCCACCGCCCCACATGTCATAGGAGACCGATCTATACCTAGTATGCTGACTGCGTTAATTTTGATCCAGAAACTTGTACCGTGCGACCACCACAAACACAGCTGCACAATAATATTTGTTACTGAACATTGCAGCTACAAGACCCCACTGACCACGAGCATTACGGAATCACAAAGGGTTGCCATATGTATATGTCTAGCAAATTTCAAACGATATTATGCTTTTGTTTCCCACCTCACTTTTGAAATATTTGGTCCTTTAACACAGACTTCTAACAGAGATAATTCAGATATTTTAAGACATATTTGACAGACAAACACATAATTAATAGTGTGTGTCAGTTGGATAAATCAGATCACTCATGAAACTCCTTCTCATGAGGTCATCAAACAATATTTAGCACGCTCACCTGAAACAGTTGTTCCTAAAGTTACTGTGGCTGGACAAAGTCACGATTGATCCCATGCCGAGACCAAGCGAGTAAAGAGCGAAGTTACAACCCTCGATCCATACCTGCAGAGAAACTTTATTATGATAAAATTGGATTATTTTATGCCCCCGCCATATATGGCATATAGGGTTACCCTCGGCGTCCGTCCGTCCGAAACAGGGAATGTTTTCTATCCACTTCTCCACCATAACCGCTATGTGGAATTCAATGAACTGATACATGGGCTTTCTTGGGACTCTAATGGTGTGCATCTCATATTTTGTTTTTTTTATTTTATTGTTTTTTTGTAAGTTTAGAGACATTTGAACTTAGGTACATTTTGCTGAATTTCTCTATGATGATAGTGTAATAGGGGATGAAGTCTATCCACTTCTCCACAAAAACTGCTCAACAGAATTGAATGAACTTCTACATGTCTTTTGTAGGGACTCTAAAGGTGTGCATTTCATAATTTTTTATGCAATTTCTTAATTTTGTCACTTTTACAGATGTTTGAACTTAGTTGAATTTTGTTCTATTCAGCCAGTGTTCGTTCCATCCAACAGGGGTGTACGTTATCCACTTCTCCTCAAAAACTACTTTATGGAATTCATTTAGATTACACATGTGCTTTATAGGGACTCTAAAGGCGTGCATCTCATATTTTGATTTTGTATTTTATTTATTTTTCCAATTTTAATGCCGTTTGAACTTACATAAATTTTGTTGAATTTCTCTCTGAATATAGTGTTGTAGGGGGTGAAGTCTATCCACTTCTCCACAAAAGCTGCTCAGCAGAATTGATTGAGCTTCTACGTGTGTTTCATTGGGACTCTAAAGGTGTACATCTCATACCTTGTTCATCCAATTTCTTAATTTTGTCACTTCTACAGATGTTTGAACTTAGTTGAATTTGGTTCTATTCATCCTGTTCGTCCCATACAACAGGGGGTGTACTTTATCCACTTCTCCTCAAAAACCACTACACAAAACTCATTTAGCTTACATATGTCTTTTATAGAGACTCTAAAGGTGTGCATCTCATATTTTGTTTTTGTATTTTATAGTTTTGTGTATGTTTAGAGTCATTTGAACTTAGATAAATTTTGTTGAATTTCTCTCTGATGATAGTGAAATAAGGAATTAAGTCTATCCACTTCTCCACAAAAACTGCTCAACAGAATTGATTAAGCTTATACATGTGTTTCATTGGGACTCGAAAGGTGTGCATCTCATAGTTGCATAGATGTTTATTGAACTTGTTCGTGAATTTTGTTCAATTATTGATCTTTCCAGCTTTTATGTCTTATGAATGTCAGTAATTGGGCGATGAGTTATTTCAACCAAGGGGCATCCCGTGTCCCTGGACACACTTCTTTTTCGTTTGTTAAAGTACCCGATCCTGTTAGTCGTCTTGTATGACAAGAGTTGCTGGAAAACCAATTCTAGTCCCGATCTTCAAGGATATGAAATATTCTGAAGTGACACTACGCCTGCTTTGACGATACACCTGTTCACGAAATGTCCAGGAATGAGTACTGTTCATTTTCCTAATTGTCCAATTTTATCAATGTGTGTAATCTTTCCACTGACACACGTGAACGCACTAGAGGGTAAGGTGTGATTAATAGACAGTAAGTAGTCGGTTAAGAGTAACATACGTTCCAGTGCTGTTTTAGATACGCGTCTTCACTTACACTGTATCGCTGCCATGTTGTACACAGTCACAATATTGACAATAACGAGTTCATGTGTTTAAGGCAATATTGATGGAATAATTAAACCAGACACTCTTATCTGCGCTCACGAGTGCCATGTCCTCGTGTCTGGAATGTTCATTTACCATCGTATTGTTGAGTCAACTACAATAATATTAAGAGCAAATAACAAAATGGAAGTTTCACTATTCAGGTTGAGAAAGAAAGGCGAATTGAGTTTTTGTCTGTTTTATTGTCATGAGTGAGTGAGCATGGTTTTACGCCGCTTAAGACATTGTTCCAGCAATATCAAGGACACCAGAAATGGGCTTCACACATTGTACCAATGTGGGGAATCGAACCCGGGCCTTCCGTGCGACGAGCGAACGTTTTAACCACTAGGGTACCCCACCGCTCCAGTTTGATGGACTCCATATTCATTGATATTCAAGTTTCCATGATATCGCGAGCTCGGAAACGAATGCACCAATTTCCAACACGAACAGTTTCGGTTTCCAGATTTCACATGAGCCAAAAACTGCAAAGATCAGCGTGTCTTCTCTTGTAATACTTCACCGCTGTGATTTTGCTACAAACGGAGTGAACCTAAACTAACTCACTCATTCTGAGGTAATGCGTCGATCAGTATCAGTATCCCCACGTACCCTTTATTATCCTCATTTATGAAGTTTTCCACTGACGAATTTTCTTCATTCTATATATTTCTTATAACTTTAAACAACCGTGGGGGTACACCCGTGACACCAAATTATGTCAAAATGCTCACGTTGTCTCATGCGAGCAGTGAACAGTACCACCTCCGCTATGCAAACTCCAATACCTGCGGTAAGTTTTCAAATGATATCTAAAGTCCAATAAGAGTTCTTCGCCTTCGTTGCACAGAAACATATAACCGAAATGGCGTAAAATCCCCTCTACCCTGTGTTAGGAACACACCTTGAATCAGTTAGTTACCTCATTTTACGCCTAGCATGAGGCTGTGAGATTTCCATTCATAAGACTTCCTTCCCATTGAAATTACCTCGCAGAGAGTGTTGTTGAATAATGTGTGTACCATTTCAATTAAACATGTCACTCCATAAATTAAACTATGACTACTCAGCCAAGTCCCATGTCATCAACAAGATCATGTTTTTGATGTGTCTTACCTGAGGCCTTGATAGGGCTTCAAAGTTTGGGAAAATATAGAAATATATTCCATCTGCTGACCCTGGCAACAGACATCCTCGGATGAGGAAGATGATTACGAGGATGCAGGGTATGGTCACCGTCACGTACACAAGCTGTCGGGAAAAACACGAGGAGGGTATTAAAATTAATCATCCGTACACGTGACAGTGGAATTGACAAATGGCAATCACGTCACTGGAAAATACGGCTGATTTAGCAACATACTTAGGCCGTGGCCATTAAGTCAATAAGATTCAATGAAATTTCCAACAACATATTATTCTCACAACTATCGCAAAGTAAAGATCATTGTCACTAGCTATGTCTTGAGAAACATTACGTTCTGGATCTTAAGCCATAACAAGTGAAGTGTTTCAATAAGACGTGTGTGTGTGCGCGCGCGTGCGCACATTGGCACAGATCCAGCAAGAACACAGGATATTACCTTCTCACTGTTTCACCAATGAAATAATGATGGGAACTGAACATGGAAGTTCTGTATAGTGATCATGAGCCAAAACTTTGTAAAACTGGGATACACTACTGCCCATTACTTATACCATATTCAGGTTACCTTTCCAGTTACTCGAATTCCTCGGAACACACACAGGAATATCAGGCAGCAGGTGAAAGCCAAGCAAACAGCTAGAGGCAATCTGATACTTCCAATGGTTTCTAAGCCATCTGTTACATCCAGAACCTGAAATCTATACATACAAACAATATAACAAAAGTATATGAATTATTGAAGGGAGTTTTAGTCAGATCGGCAGTATTTCAGCCATATGGTGACTAAAACAAGTTATCCATTCCTGACACAAAGATCTCAATATGCAAATACATCGGACAAAGGACAGTAAACATAGCTAGAATATCAAAGTTTGTATAGATGTAAAACTGGCATCATGCCATGAAAATCTAAAACTAATACAATTACAGCCGGCAATAATTCGCTAACAACTGAAGGCAGATCACCTTGCTGAGAGAGAGAGAGACAGTTGTCGGAGAAACACAGTCGATGGAAAACAAAAATCCAGGACTGCCTAAGTTTAGTCTGTCATTTTGGAGGTTACTTACTGAGTGCATATAACTGATTCAAACGTGACATCATTACTTAGTTACAGTAAATCATCACTTTACAAATTTTCAAAACATGATTATCCAGAAAGTGTTTGGTAAAACCACATAGAGCTATCAAAGCCACTTGGTCAGAGTAAAATGTCAGTATCTGGTGTGACCACCATGAGCATCGATAACAGCTTGGCAGCGGTGACCCATAGAAGAAAGGAGATGCCGAATGCTGTCTTGAGGAATGTTTTGATACACTTGCTGAAGTGCTGTGTGCAGTTCTTGTAGAGTCTGATATGGCGGATTACGCTGGCGCAAGCGTCGCTCAAGAGTATCACATAGATGTTATGTGGGGATAATGGGGGATAAATCCCTTGATCGAGAAGGCCAAGGTAACAACTGAACATTGTTTTGCTGGAGGAAGACCTGTCAAACACGTGCAACGTGAGATCGAACATTGTCATGCTCCAAAGGTCACGTTGATGTAGGGAACGACGTGACGTTGATCTGGTCTTCTGACAAAAAGTTTGCGCACTGTCTTGTCGGAGATTCGGAGCAGTCCGGGGATTTGGATTGTTGTGGATGATGAGGCCGTGGTGTTTGAACGAAAATGTCTCAACCGGATGTAGTGAACCCGGGGCGGCGGTGGTTACTCCAGGTCAACCTGATCTGGGTCTGTCATTATCACTCCCAGTATTTTTGTATCGGGTCCATAGGTTTGAGATGGTCTGTCCGGACACGCTGAAGTGCCTTGCCAAATCATGCTGCGATGTCCGTCCTTGTAAACGGCCGATGACGTTGTGTCGTTGAGTTTCTGTCAGTCTTTTCATTCTCTTGTCGTCTATAGTGGCTTAAAGCAATGCACGTGGAGTACCATTAATGTGGCTTTTTAAAGCCTACAGTCATAGGCTTCAGCTCAGGGTGATACACAATTTCATGATGCTCGTGCATTTCAAGTAGGGTGCGTTTTAGCGATTCACGACAGACGTGAGTGTAACGTTACGTTTTTGTTAAACGTTTCTTTTTTCAAACGTTTTGTCGTCGGCAACTATTCCCCAACATGCTGGGATTCAACATGGATTGGTTTGTGTCAAATAATTTCCTAATATTCAATTTTGTCCTATGCCAAGTTTCTAATTTTTAGAAATATGTAGCACAAGAAAGAAGCTGTAGCACAGACTAAGGGAAAAACTTAAGCATACCTCCAGAACTCCTCCTCGGCTGTCATTATAGCAGCTGTACTGTTGATGTCTCTTGTCACGGTGTAGCTGGTACCGTTGTCCGTCATGTTGTACCCTGTTCTGTTAACATCAACATACTGGGAGATACAGGTAGGAGTGTTCCAGTCATTGCCACAGTGGGCCCAAGGCAGGGGACTTGAAAAGGACACGTAGAAGTAGTACATGAACCAGCTGAAGATCACGTTGTAGTACGTTGTGTGGATCCACGTGCCTATGACGGTGCCCACACCCACACCTGTGAGGTAAAGTTTTAAGACAGATCTATATTTCAAGCATACTAAGCGGCGTTGGCTAAAGCGTTGGTTAAAGCGTTCGCTCGTCATACCGAAAATCCGGGTTCGATTCCCCACATGCATATAATTCGCAAAGCCCAGTTTTTGGTGTCGTGATATTGATAAGATATTGCCAACCGTGGAGTAAAACTAAACTCACTCATCACTCATAAGTAACATTATGTGAAATACGCATGCCACATTCTCAATATGTTTGGCAGAATAAGTTGAAATTCTATGAGTGTCTCGATCAGTTAAATGCACAGGGTATGATTTTTACGCTTTACTCTGATGAATGTAATCTAGTGACCGATATTGTGACCACCGATCAACGCCTTCAACTTTTGTCACCGAACTGACAACCCGATCCGAGTTGACAACCCGATAGGACCAGAACAATTCTAACACTGAATACCGTGTTTGAAAACAATCTCAATAAAGTTATCATAAAAACATATACACAGAGAGGGCATATACATGTTCCACTTGCATTGTTATTGATTATATTTTGTTCAGACTGGAATCGGTATCCCTTATTCTTTTGTAGATATACACCACATTATCGACATTTGCTAATGACAAAATGTCTCTATGCAAAGTAGTGGTGATATCCGAAAATAGTAAATTAAGGGGAAAAAGAGGTATCGCGCAATCAGAATGAATGTATAGGAAAATGACAAGGTGAAACATGGCAATCAACATAAGATGGCGGTATCTTGTAAGGGTGCCAGGAACCAAGACATAAAACAGGGTGTGTAGTCAACAATAAAATGTTTGTGATCACTCTCCTCAAGATTTTTCAAACATTTGTAGTCCTCCTGAGAGGGTACTTACGTCCCATTAGATTCATAGTAAATTTAAACCTACTACTATACTGAACAACATTAGAAACGCACAACATTAAAATGCACGGACGATGCTCAGATATCATGGGTATATTTCAGTCTGACGGGGATATTTCGTATTATATGGGTGATGCGTTTCTAATGTTGTTCAGTATATTTGTATTCGTTGTATATATGTTATTTTAATGGGGGCGTCGGGGTAGCTTAGTGGTTAAAGCGTTCGATTCCCCACATGGGTACAATGTGTGAAGCCCATTTCTGGTGTCCCCCGCCGTGATATTGCTGGAATATTGCTGGAATATTGCTAAAAGCGGCGTAAAAACCAAACTCACTATTTTAATGTATGGGCAGATTTATCCAATTTTTTAACAGCTGAAGTAATGGTGTACATCTAGCTAGGGCCCATGCAGGAAGCAAGAGTACTGTAAGTCTCCATGGTCCCTTGCATGGTGATCTAACTTCAGATGTTGGCAATATATAGCCTGTTTTTTTATTGTATTGTCATCTATAGTTAAAATATTTTAGTGTTGATTACTAGTTTTAATTTGAAATCTGTGATACACTAGTTGTTTCATTGTCCTTCGCTGAGAGGTGTTTATAATTTGTCTTTATTTATTGTAAAATAAATACTCACTCAAACATTTGTATACATGGCTTGGCCAAGTTAATGTCAATGTTACGCAGCACGTGTCCTTGTTATATGGTTAAGGGGTTTATTTATAATGGTAAAAATGAAATGAATTAGTGAATCTTGAGATCGGTATGGCAAACAAAATCATATTTGCAGATAGAATTGGTAACTGACAAATGTTACAAAAGGTGACGATGAGCCAGAATACTGAACGTATCTGGTTGGATTAATTTCTCTTCTTATCATATTCATAAGAGAGAGTGAGTGTGGTTTTTACGTCGCATTTTAGCAATATTCCAGCAATATCACACCTGAAATGGGCTGAACACATTGTACCCATGTGGAGAATCAAACCCGGGTCTTCAGCGTAACGAGTTTTAACCATTAGGCTACCCCACCGCCCCATAAACAAACCCATTCTTTGTACTCCACTACGCCTCATGTTGTTTCAAGAGGGCAAGATGTGTTACAGATTGGACGGCGATTAAACAGATAATTAGTGATTACGTCAAGAAGTATCGTCCATTGACATGAACTAAAGGATATGACACATTGGATCTGTGTTAGAGATTGGAAAGGCATAGGTACAATATGTGGAGCCCGTTTCTGCAGTGACATTGCTAGAACATTTCTAAAAGTGGCGTAAAATCTTACTTTTTCACACAGCAAAACCTTTTGTCACAACAACCGACCTGTCAAAATACAATTCTGATGCACACTTCCCGACGCAACTATCCGATAAAATATTAACTCACTTACCTTCATATGATGCGTGTGTATCAATGCGTCTTCCTACCTTTACGGGGCGGTGGGGTAGCCTTGTGGTTATAGCGTCCGCCAGGGTTCGATTCCCCACATGGGTACAAAGTGAGAAGCCCATTTCTGGTTCCCCTGCGGTGATATTGATGGAATATTGCTTAAAGCGGCGTAAAACCATATTCACTCACTCTCAGTCCTACCTTTAAATGCTGGGCACAAATTCCAAACTTCAACCGGCCCCCTTTCAGAAAACTGTCCAATCACCATCTCCAGAAACACCACAGGTACAGTACCCATGAATGTAAACAGGATGAACGGTATCAAGAATGCTCCTTGAAAGAAGAAAACATGCAAAGGATACCACACGTGATAACTAGGTAATTCATGGTATTTAGACATATTCGACAGACCCAGTGACGATCCGAGTTAGAACTGATCTTCACCAACCCAAAGATTTCGTGAGAGGCTTGTTTGAAAACTGTGTCACTCTATCCCAATTACTTGAGTGAGTGAGTGAGCTAAGATTTTAAGTCACATCGATAGATTTTAAGCCATATCGGGACTAGAATAGGTTATAAATTCATAGTAAATAACGTCGAATTATAACACCCTGTCAATGAAGGACAGTCAAAACAACTAGAGGATCACATATAGATATAAAAGTATATAATATATGAAAACCTAAAATCTTTTATCTACAGATCACAATACAATATAGAAACAGGCTATAGATTGCTAACAACTGAAGGTAGACACCATGCTGGGGACCCAATTACTCGAGTGTTTACAGATCGCTGTCATATATCAAGAAACAAACAAACATACCTCCTCCATTCCTCATGCACAGGTAGGGGAATTTCACGAATGATCCCGAGCCGATTCCAAATCCAAGAAGGGTGACGACATAGTCCAGTTGATGACGCCATTTTTCACGTAACATATCTATTATAACAGGAATTATTGTTCAGCAAACTCTTCAGGTAAGAATACAAATTAACTGAATATCAGTATCACAAAAATGGTGTTCCCACTGTTCCATTCGGCATTACTTCATTAAAATGGCTGAACGAAAAAAACAGGTGTCAGACCTTGCAAATTTACACGCTGTATCAAAAGTTGATTTCGTGTTCACTCATCAAAACCGTAACGTTAAATTACACTGTTGGTTATCTATGCGGGACGGGATTCCCATTAGGAATATACTATATATGTATTTGGTATCCACCTGTGGAACGAATGTTAATAATATGAATATATTGCTTCAAGGGACGTTTTTGTCGGCGGACTGGATCCGACTGAATACTCTTGACTGAATTCGACAAAGCTGTATTGACAAAGCCATGTACCAGAACTGGCAAGAACATACACGAATGTAAATTTTATCTTCTGTTTTTAAATACAGAAAACTAATCCACATTGTACAATGAATAATATATCTTTAAACAGGCTACCACAATTATCAGATCCCCTTCCACAAGAAATCTCGCTAAAGGCAAAGTCGATTGTACAGTTCCGACTCTGCCATGACGGGGAATCTTGATAGAAAGAGCATGCTCGCGTTTACCTCAAGAGTGGTGAAACATTAACACCAAAGGCTGGAGGCTCTTGAAAGGCATTTGGAAGTTGAATACATGACATGTTTTATGGATAACAACTTCTTTATATATTTTTTATACGCCGTTTCAGAAAATGTATTCGCTGAAGTTGTGATGTCTTTTGAGGAACCGGTTATCAGCCTTTACACTGAGTGAGTTAAGATATAAAGTCACAGCGGCAATATTTCAGCCATATCGTGAATTAAAGTGAATGGGTGAGTTAATATTTAACGTCACAGCGGCAATATTTCAGCCATATCGTGACTAAAAACAAGTAAAAATGCTTGAATACATAGGTATTTTTTTTTTAAAAAAAGCTGTCAGCGAAGGACAGTAAAACCAACTAGAAAATCACAGATATGAATGTAAAAGTAGTATGTAACTCTATAATAGTTTAACTACAGAAGACAATACAATATAAAAACAGGCTATATATTGCCAACAAGTGATTTACAGTAGATTTGCTCCCTGCATGGACCCTAGATATCAGCCTTTACAAGACAGACTCGACTACATTGGAAGACTTTCCAGAAGTCAGTTGGCTCTAGCCGTTTTGTTTGTGTTCCACGAATCATCGTATTGACTGGACAAGACTTTACATAAATGGACACTGAGTTTATTTGATTCTGTGTTTAAATGAGTGAGTGAGTTAAGATTTAAAGTCTATCGGCAATATTTCAGCTATATCGTGACTAAAAGAAATTATATATTCATGATAAATACACATAATTTATAAACCCTGTCAACGAAGGACAGTAAAATGACTAGATTATCACAAAATGGGTTAACACTAGCTAGCATATATCATTAAATGTAGACAACTGTGTTTAAATGACACTGATATTTAGCCAACGATTAAATGGTTAAAATGATCTCTTTGTGGATATATGGACGTTCCAAAGACGTCAGAAAAGGCAAAATATAACATGACAAATAGCTAGTGCATACGCAAAATGAAAATCATCGTTCTGTCTGCATTGCCTAAAATGTTTTCTTTGTATTAGTCTGGAATGGGCCGAGTTTCGTGCTTTGTCAATAAATGCACATTTTCCCTGCATGGCTGCTCTACTAAATAGACCGGTGAACTGATGATGTTATTGCGTGGTTGCATCCAGTGGCGATAGGCATGACTCTCCAAGCATCATCGTGTAAAATGTAGACAGAAAGACAGGTTTATTAAAGTCTCACTCGTTGCACATAAAAAATACTAGACTTCATATACATATACAGTAATAATACAATATGCTACCACCAGTCGCACGGCGACTTATGAGAGACATCGTAAACATAGAAGTAGGCTACTCAAATACAAGTATAAAAATAAAATAACATATATTTAAATTATATGTTTACAAAATACAGCAATACAAAATATACTGAACATCATTGAAAACGCACCACTTATGAAAGTTTAGATTATTAAAAGCACGTGTAAGGAATTGATATTTTTTAAGTGGATAATAACAGATGGACGACTGACAAAATCAACAACACAGAAAAGATGCTCATTCATTGAAATGTTCCACAGTCAGAAAGGATCAAACACACGTGGGGTCAAATCGAAAAGTCAATATCGCGTGTGACCGCCATTTTCATTGACACATGCAATTAAACTTCTCCTCATTGAGTCAATAAGCGTCCGAATAGAGTTCTTGATGATGTCATTCCACTTCGGCAGTAGTGCAGCCTCAAGCTCCCGGATGTTTCGCATCTGTTGTCGCCGCGAATGACTTTGACCAATTTCGTCCCACAAGTGCTCCATGGAGGATACATGTGGCGACTGTGCTGGCCAATGAATAACCTGGATGTGTTGCTGGGCCAGATACTGCATGGAAAGTCTTGTTTTATGTGCCCGTGCATTGTCCTGTGTAAATGTATGGACATATTGGTGGTGATTGAAGACAGATACGATGTGATTCTGAAGAATCTGCTCACGGTAATAACGGGCATTAACTCTCCCTTGACAGACATGAAGGCAGTCCTGTGATTGTAATTTATTCCACCCCAGACCATGACACTCCCATCACCCAAAGGTCTGTCTGGACCAAACACTTATCAGCATAACGTTCACCACGTCTACGCCAAACACGTAATTGGCAGTCAGCATTACGTAGATGAAGACGTGACTCGTCAGTGACTACCACACCATGCCATTGTTGTAACCTTTACTGAAAATGCATGCTAGCCCATTGTATACGCTCATTACGGTGTCTGTCAGTCAGAATTGGTCTGTAAGAACGTCTAGCATAGAGCCCTGTAGCGTGTAGACGGCGTCGCATGGAGTCAGCGCTGATGACCCCCACGTCAACCTTGAACTAGTGCAGCAGTCCTGGCAGTCGGCAGTGTTCGATCACTGATATAGACAAGGTCAATATGGCGATAGAGCGTCGTAACACGTTGTTGCCAAGGTTATTGAAGGTTACGGGTGCTGCCTATCTACTGATGTCGTCTATGAAGCCTAACGATGGTGGAGTGGCCAAGTCCAAGTTGTCGAGCAATATCCCTGCTGCTTGTGCCAACCTGAATCAAGCCTAGTGCACCTTCTCTTTCGTGAGGTGTTAACCACGGCATCTCTGTCCTCGTTTCACAATTGTTAGTGAAGCAATGAGTATCGGTTCACATACACCTGCTTTTAATGTCACAGACAGTATGATTTCAGAATGATATTCGCGCTTTTTGCATGGCGTTGTTGAATGTTGATGCATTTTGGAATGAGTCATACTGTGGACAGGAATTTGTTTCTAAAGCATTTTTTTCAACTGGACATGCCCTTCGACTTCATGTTAGTTATATTCATTAATGATTGTCATGCTGAAATCCATCTTGATGAAAATATGGACAATTTTAGACTGGTGCGTTTTCAATGACGTTAAGTATAGTTATGTCAATTAGCCATATACAGTTTCGCGTCTTTTAACTAAACTATCATGGCAGGTTTTGGCAACGCTAAAAACTACAGGGGGGTTGGGGGGGGGGGAGTAAAAATATATGAAAGACTTTCATGGTATGCTAAATCTTTACAATGAGTGTTGTTCAGAAAACATTTTTGTATCAGATCTTTTCTGATACTGGTAATAGCTGGACATAGACATAAAACATGGATTTCATCCTGGACTAAAACAAAATTTCTAGTTGTGCGGTATAATTTCATATCTTCCCGTTTCAACTCTTATTGGGACCACTGCACATAATATGAATATATGCTATAGCATTTCTGTGACGTGTCGGGATCGGACACTTAACATACTGTTCAGTTTCATAGTTTGTTTTCAAAAGTGTATAGTTTCTAAACTTGTTTCCTACTCGTCATCCTTCTTCGTCATTTATCTTCTCTTTCCATCCTTACTTGTATAGCGTATGCATTGCTTCGTGCACGTTCGTTATGAATAGCTTCTTTTCCAGGTAGTTCGGTGTTCGAATCCAAGGGTTACAAGATGTGTTCTGACTAAAATTCCAAGTTTTCTTTTTGCTTTTGTTCGCTAGTAAAAATATCCTCTTATTCAATCCTCTGCTTGTGGTACTGACGCATCTTGTCCAGTGTCTTAGCACAGATGTCCAATTCTTCACTTTTGGCGGCAGCCATCCCATCTTTCCGTTTATAGCTGCGTTGAGTGCATATTTCCTTAGACCAAGGAAAACCTAATTGCTCTTTGATGAACTGCGTTGATTCATGAGTATTCTGCTGTTTCCCATATTGTCGCGCTATAACTTATAACCGAGAACACCATGGTGTCATAAAGCTTCGACAACACATAATGAGGCATACCGCCTAGAGTCTAAAACTTTTAGATGAGCTTGGTCACATATTCAGTACGACAGGCGTATTGTACGTTGCTCGTATAACCTGAAGGTACTAGCCACATAAAGAAACTGTGTATTGTCAAAATATTATCTCAGTTGATAAGTACAATAACAATGTCAAAAGTACATATACACTTTAATGGAGGGATCATGAGACCATAACAAGTCGGGAGAATTTCAATTGAAAAGTCAATCACAATGACGTCCACAAGCGGGACAGGGGTCAAACGACCATGTCACAAGCTCAATAACGGGTATGTCCACCATCGGCATTGAGAACAGCAGTGCATCGACGACGCATAGAGCCTATCAAACGTGCAAGGAAGGCTTGTGGGATGTCACGCCAGATTCTCTCAAGTTCTGTTGCAAGGTCAAGGACGTTATCTGGCGGATGAGGAAGACGGCGTAGACGTCGATCCAACTCGACCCAAACGTGCTCTATCGGGGAGAGATCCGGTGAATTTGCAGGCCAAGGCAGTAAGTCAACGTTGTGGTGTTGCAAGAATCCATAGCAACCCTTGCCGTATGAGGGCGGGCATTGTCCTGTTGGAATGTTAACCCAGGGCCATGACGTTGAAGAAAATGAATTGCCACAGGTCAAAGAATCTGATCCCTGTAGCCCACACCAGTTAAGTTGCCCTGAACAATCACCAAAGGAGTTCTTTGGCGTGCTGTTATTCCACCCCAAATCATCACGGAACCACCACCAAAGCGATTCCTCTCAAAGACACAGGCCTGTGCATAACGTTCTCCCACGCGTCTATAGGCACGTTGACTGTCCATCACTATGGGAAATGTTAAACCTGCACACATCTGTAAAAACAACAATTCTCCACCAAAACAAGGGTCTGCGGACATGATTTCGGCACCACATTCGGCGAGCTTGTCGATGACGTTGTGTCAGGATAGGCCGTATGGCGGGACGTCGTGCTCTGATCCCGTGATGACATAAACGTTGTCGAACTGTGTTGGGGTGGACACGGCGAAATCTTGGGATGGTTCGGGCAGTCATCACTGCAGTCTGTAACCTGTGGCGAAGATCCATATGTCCTGTCTTGGCGTTGTTACACGTGGACGTCCAGAACATGTCCGATCGATGACGTCATTTGTGTTCTGGTAGCGTCTCACCAGTGCAGAAATGGTGTTCCGGTGGCAGTGGACATGGGCAGCCACTTGTCGTTGAGACATTCCCCCACGGACCATCCCAATGGCCTTGTGACGTTGTGCAGACGTGAGCCTTGGCATGCTATGCGTTTCAATAGCCGTTTAATGTTTTGAACGATCGCAAGGGCAGGGTTGAGCTTTCCAAAGTGACAGTATTGTGTGGCATTCATTTGCTCTGTTTCTCTTTCCCGGAATGCACGTGCAACAACGTATTGCACATCTCAAAGACAAACCCACTGACGTCACGGAACATGGCACGTGCATGCATGTTGGATACATGTCACTAATCTCTGAGTTTGAATCCTTATGTGTCTACACAGGTTTGATAAATTTAGATTGTAAATTTGTGTATGCACAGTTTCTTTATGTGCCTAGTATACTTAAGAATATTTAGGCACTGGTTTTATGTTGAAGGATTGCAAGGTGTGTCGCATCTATAAGCGACGGTAGAAGCGGCAGTAAGTTCCTGGTAAAACACTGGATTCTTTTATGGCCATAAGAGAGTTAGAGCCGTTTTGGGGTCATTGAATTTTATGTTTGTGAATGTAATACTTCCGATCAGTTTAAATTAGTGATTTGATTATTGGTCGCAAGTGGTTTGATGGGATCGCGTGACAAATGACAACAAACATTTGATTATCAAATATGTCTACACGCAATATTATCTTTGGCTTTTGCCACAACTTACGCGTAGCACCTTAGAAAGTGGTGATTCTTACCAAATTTGAGTAGTTCACTTTCGATTAAATTTAAATAAGATGTGTGTGAATACAAACTTCTGGGTTTGTGTTTAGCATGTTAGAGTTAAGTAGTTATTTACTTACATTATTTTTCATTTATATATGATTTCCCCTTTGGACTGGGACATAATGAGAGTAACGTTCAGTGAGCCGAAGCCTTGTTGCTGAATAAACATGACTGTATGTAGTCTCTGTATATTCAGCTCATGGCACAACAATTGACTGGTAAAAATGCTGAAATGTTACATGAGCCTTACTTACGTATTAGTCTGGGTTGAGATGATTTTAACACGAGATAGTGTCTCATATTCCTCAACGTTGAAATATTTGAAAGAAGACCAAACGCATGTATACAATACATTGGTCAGGTAGATCTTCAAAATGAATCTTTGCCATTTATGTAAATATATGCGACAAAGCCATTTCAGTAATATCACTCACTCACTCACACACACACACACACACACACACACACACACACACACACACACACACACACACACACACACACACACACACACACACATATACATATATGTATGTGTATATATACACATTTAATTTTATATGTAAAGTAGTAATTTTATATATATAAAATAGAGACATTTTTTTGTTACTTGGCCGCTTATGAAATCTACCCATGTCTTAACTTTTCCGATGTTTCAGAATTCTACGGGACTGCATACATTATAAACCTTTACAAGACACCCTGGGCTGTATGAGAAGACTTTCCTGAAGTTACGTAGGCTCTGGTTTGTGTTCCGGGAATCATCGTATTGATATATAAGTATACAAGACTCGACATAAATGGACACTGCGTTTAACTGACTCTGTGTTTAAATGACACTGCTATAAAGCCAGTGCTTTTGTTGTTAAAATCTGCCCTTTGAGTATGGATGGACGATCCAGTGCTACAACTGCAGTCAGAAAAGGCAAAATAGTATCTACTGATAAATATTTGTTGCACTAAAAATCATTGTTGTGTCTGCATGGCCTAAAATGTTTTGTTTGTATCAGTATAAAATGGACCCAGTTTCGTGCTTTCTCCTTAAATCCTGCATAGTCGCTCCACTAAATAGACGGATCCACCGATGATGCTATTGCGTGGCTGTGTCCTGTGAAGATAGGTATGACTCACCAAGCAATACAGTGTTAATAATGTAGCGTAGTCCCATTAGGAGTGCGACAGGTGTACTGCTCGTTTGGCCAGAAGGAGTGTAGGTCATTGGCGTTTACTGAACTAAGAATATTGAAGCACTGGTTGTATGATTGAATGATCGCAAGTACGAATTTGGTATAAACACATCGCGCGAAAGCAAATTTGCATGAGCATGCTGACCTGCATGTGAGTGAGTTTACTTTTACGTGGCTTTCAGCAATATAACAGTGGACACCGGAAATGGGTTTCATACACTGAACCTTGAAGTGAATCAACCCTGGTCTTCGGTGTAAAGAGCGAACGCTTTTCTGCATGTGCGTGTGTTGCATCTATAAGCGACGGTAAGAGCGGCAGTAAGTTCCTGGTAAAGCAGTGGATTCGTTTATGTCCATATCAGAGTTAGAGCCGTTTTGGGAGCATTTAGTTTGGTTTTTTTTGTGAATGTTGGCTGGTTGGTTGTTGTTTTCCGCTGCGTTCGGCAATATTCCAGCTATATGGTGGTGGTAAATAAATAATCGAGTCTAGACCAGATAATACATTCATCAACAGCATGAGACCTATGCAATTGGGATACGATGACATGTGTCGACCAAGTCAGCGAGCCTGACCACCCTATATCCTTAGTCGCCTCTTACGACAAGCATGGGATCTATCCTGGATATTCATGGTTTGACTTGCAATGGTTCACGTGTTTTCCGAACACAGCAGCTATGGCTTGGTTAACGAGAGATCAACGACAACAAGATATTGGACGTTTAGACGCTGTTCAACGTGCTCTAGTCACTGCTAATGACTTGCGTACGAACGATAGAGCGTCTTAGACAGCGATACAAATCCACCAACAGCACTGATGACCACAGGTAGTGGTCGACCCCGTGTAACAACACGTCGCCAGGACTATCATATCGTCCATCAACGCCTCTCGTTAACCTAGCCATAGCTGTTCAGAAAACAAGTGAACGATTGCCATTTAAGCCAGCAAGTTATGCCCTTCCACAAGCAAAAACATTTCAAACCTCAATCTCAAACAATACATTATTGGGCAGTACAGGCTATACGACCACGATTTATGTTTTCCTCAAATTTGACTTCCTGTGAATATTTTCTTAAAAATAGGTTAAAATACTGCATTGATACTTAAATTTCATTTCCAATATTACGACGTTTCTTTTGCCTTTCAGTATATATATTTATTACCCATACAGGTGTGGAGATCCTGTGTATTATCTTCTTTGATATTTGCACAGTGTTCAATTTTAGTGATTCTCGACGTCGATTGGTCGATCGTATATTTGTACATTTTCATTGGATGTCGGAACTTCTTTCACACCACTACGTTCATTCATAATATACTAGCCACATAAAGAAACTGTGCACACAGAACCTTCCTTCAGCATTGGAATACAACACAGAAAAGACGAAATGATGTAGACACTTTATAAGCTGAAGTATTGGGCCAAAACAACATGTCAAAAGAACACGAACAATATCCGTAACGATGACGTCAGAAGTTCAAAAGTGAGTAGGGGGTCACATGTCGCAGTCACAAAGTCATTAACGGGTTTGACCATCATGCGCGTGAAGCACAGCAATGCATCGTCGACGCATAGAGGCTACTAAATGAGCATTGAAGGCCTGGGGAATGGTTTGGGACGTGATCACTGCCGTCTGGAACCTGTGTCTGAGATGAGTCACCCGAATCCATCTGTCCTGTCTTGG